ATGTGGTTTTGCTACTTCCTCTTATTTATACTTTTATCTACATCCTGTGTACCTAAGCAGAGTGAGCAGTTCACATCTTAAAGACTTATCTTGCAGAACTCTCAGCATGAGAAGGAAGCTGCAAGGAAGAAGATAGTGGTAAGGAGTGTGTTGGGTGCCCCCAACCACATGACTAAGCAGCTGATAGGGGTTATGGAAGACAAGAGTAGGCTAAAAGTTTTATTTGATGTCCTTTAGCGTTTGAGTTGAAAAAGGTACTGAATTATTGGAAACTACTGAAATAACCCACTTAAAGGAAATGTCAAGCATAGTCAGAACTGTTCTAAAGTGGTTTTATGTTAAGCAAAGACCTTAAGGCGCGCTAGGAGTAAGTCTAATGTGATGTGCTCCAGGAAGATCGATCCTGGAAAGTTACCCAGTGAAACACACCTGAGCGGTTCCCCAGCCCCTGCCGAAATCAGAAGCTAGGGTCCTTTCTCTTGTGGATTAACTCTTCAGAAAGATGTAGTAATAGATGAAAAAGCAACTGAAGATTTCCAAATTTGCTCAGATTATTTAGATCGTAATTTGTTTGGAAATTTTTTTTCTTTAGTGATTTAGATAATTTTGTCAGCTTTTAATTTTGGTTTCTGTTAAAAACCTGGCAGTTGTCAGGCATGTTTAGAAACCAAAGCATAAATGTAGTTTCAGCTGTTGTAGGCCCTAAATCAGGAAAAGAAATGCCATTTTTGTTTATTCTTTCAGATAAGTGCTTCATGAGGTATTATGGAGAATTGAGTCAGTTTATGAAAAGGGTTTTAGTGTCATCTTTGAGAAATCTGCGTCTGGATGAGGCTTGTTATGGGCATATTACCTTTAGGAAATGTGGCTGTGGAACTGCTCCGTGTTTGGTGTTTTTGTTTGGAATAGGGGAATGTGACCTTCTTCAGTAGACTTTTTCTTCTTTGTTATTATTACACATATTTCTTTAAAAGAAAACTCAACTTTTTAGTGCTTTGAAGCATTTTCGTATTTCTTAATTTTACTTTATTTTTTAAATTTAATAAAAATTTTCCCATCGCCATGTCATACCCCGCCACTGTCTTCAATGGCACCCTCCCCGCCCCCTGAAATCACCACCCTGTTGTCTGTTGTCATGACTTCGTTTTACTTTAAAATTAAGGTATTTGTATTGAGAGGGTTTTTTCTTTTTAGAATTAATTATACTGATACTTCTCCAAGGAAGAAATTGTATGACCTATCTTGAAGTTAAAGCTGACCTGAGGTACAGATATACATGTTACTAATGAATGGAATAGTTAAAATACCTGAGTATCTTTTTTCCTATCATCAGTTTTATATAAGTTAGTGTTTAAAATAACATTTGACTGATAGCTGTTTTCTTGATCAAATTATACACATCATATTGAAACGAATATACTTAAGACTTGAAAGAATCAGAATGAGTTTGCAAAATCTGGTTTAATTCAGATCTGGGGAGAGGAGGGGAGCACACTGTGAAAATACATATGCACAGGAACCTAATCAATGCTAGACAAACAATGGATTAGTTTACAATGCAATAAAGTAACAAATTTGAAGGCTCAAATTGAGTCCATCAGCGGTAAATACAATTTTATATTTGGCTCAAGTGGCTGTTGAATATCAAGTGGTGCTGAGTTCCTCCAAAGCACCTAATGACCCCCCCCAGCCTTGGAAGGGGTTTCACCACAGTCTCAGAAGAAATCCCAGTCATGCCTTTAACTCTTTTGGCCCTTGGGAGTCATTGCTGCCCAAATACAAATGCAGGCCAGGGATTTCCAGTGGCCACATGTTATTGCACAGAGAAGTCTGTCCTAAGCCAGACTCTTATGGCTAAGAAGGTATGAGATCAGCCCTTAAATAGTGGTCTAGCATTAACATGGTCTATCAAAGCATGCTAAGAAAGAGCTCCTTAGTGATTATGTACCAGCTACTAGCTATCACACTAACAGAAAAAGGCAATAAGGGCAGCTTCACATTTCACATGAAAGACTAGCATTAACTGGGCCTGGCTTGCCAGCTTAACCTTCACATAAATCTAGTGATTATTTTAACTTAGACCCAGAAAAAAATGATTTCATACCAGTCTTTTCTTCACATAGGTTTGTGTAGCATTAACATTGTTATGGTTTAAATACTAGGCCATAAAGGCAAAAATGTTTAACTCTCCTTTGCCAAAACAGAAACAGTGCCTGTTCTGACGCCTGTCCAGTTTCCAAAAAACAAAACATACATACACCTTTGTTATTGCACATGTTTCACACAGACTTGTGTATGTATAATACATATATATATTTTAAATATGCTACACATAAAAAAGACTATGGCACTTTACATGTTTTAACAAGATCATTACACCACAGATGTTTGAAAATTATACAAAACCCTTACACAATTAATGTAACATTGTTGAATTAGCACACAGGTTTAAAGAATCCACAGAATCCAAGGCAAATATTTCTGCCTTCTTGGAGTTCATTGAGAAGCCCAGCTCATTACAAAACTCTTAGCCCAAATGCAGGCAAAAATAAATAAGACTTTTCTGGTAGTTGTAATGGTCCAGGTGTATTAGATTTTTAGACTGAGGCGATTAGGTAATTGATTAGAAATTTATTAGAAAAGTGTGGGTCAACAATCAGTCTAATTATTTTTTAATACATTTCTTTCTAACATATTACTCATACTCAGTGGTTTTTAATCAGCTCTGCAGTTTTGGTCTAGACCAGCATGATTTTGGATGTTCCATTCATCCCAACCAAAGCCTGGCTATTGGACTGAAGGTTTAAAAGGCCCAACATTCTCTCTTCCTCTTCCTTTTATGCTTCCTCTGCCAGAGAAAGTCCATTCAACTTACTGAGTCAGTGTTTGAGCACTTTTAGTGGTTTGGGGTTGTGTGTGCCTGTGCTTTTCCATCTTCTGTAGCATTCAGACTAATGAAGTAAACACTGCCAAGTGACTGACGGCTGACTGAGAGGCCCCATTTTCACTTGTGACTTTTGTTATCTGGGCGATCGAGGGGATATGCTACCAGCTCTGCCAAAGAGCAGTCGGGCAGCACAGATGAGGGACTTGTTCAGGGGATCCTCTGGGCTTATGAAAATTTGTCTATAAGGAGAGTGAGAGTGTAAAATTCGTGTTGGAAAATGGGTTCTCTATCCTGTACAGACAAAAGAAAAAAGTGAATCTTCTGATGATACATTTAAGAAAACTGTTTCCATCAAGATTTGCTTGATGAAGCAAATTGTTTTTTTTTTTTTTAATGAAAATTACCGCCAGGATTTGAAAAGTAGTTACTATGGTGGCATCAGGACTTGGTGAAAGCATATGAACACTTGGTCAAGTGCAAGACCCCGGGTCATCGGCTACCATACCCTGTTTCAGTGCGGTGTCAGAGATGGGGTTAATGTCTCCTGAGCCCTTACCCTAGGCTATGTATTTCCCCCTTCTCTTTTCAGAGAAAGTCACAGGATTTACATTGTGCTTATTATTGAACTTTGGACTAAGAATGGTGAACTCAGTAAGGTCTGGTTCCACACCTCTACCTTTCCTGCCCTTAGCAATCTAAAGAAAGAAAAGGCCAGAATGGAGTAGAACTTTAGTTCCATTCCATCAATAAAAGTTTTTCTGCATCCAGGCATGGTTTTAGACTCACAGATATTTCAGAGATTCACTTTGGGCAAGGTTATAAAAACTGAATCAGAGCTCTATATATCTGGTGGCACTTACCACACAATACCTTGCCCTAACTTATTATTTGTTAATTATTTTGTTAAATTTTCAAAATGAAGCAAGCCATCAAGTGAGCAGATCCAATCCTTCCAGAAATCTGTGAGGTCCATTCTACCTGTGTAAGTTGCTATGGAGTGTTACCTGTATCATTCTGCAATTCCGACCTTCGGGTGGATAATAGCAGACGAGGTTCTCTCTGGCCACTTTAATCATTCCAAAGTAAATTTGAAGTGATGGCTAATACCATTTTCCTGAATCAGTGATACTGATAATTTATGGAAATTAGATTAAAAGCGCCCGAACCCTTTTCAACAGTGGTAGTTGATTCTTTTTGTAAACAGGTATAGACAGGTGTTACAAGCTTGGCCTAACTCTCTTTTTGCATTAACTTTCTACTCTGTTTATCTGGGAATGATGCCTTTGATGCAGCTCACCATTTGTAGCAATGCAATGTTATTTCAGTCTGCTCTTAGGATCAACCGCTCTTAGGATCAACTCCACTAACTAGAAAAACTTAAGTCCCATGATTAGCTCCTTTTGTTTATGCACAGAATGACATTTTGTTGCTGTTGGGGTTGGAAATGTAGCTGACTACAGTATGGTTACCAGTCAGTGGGAAAAGGTCTCCCCAAGTGCTGAGGTTCTGGCAAGTTCTCCCAGTGAACATCTGAATGAGCCACAGCTGGCTTAGAGACGTCTGTCCCGAGAATGAGGAAACAGAGTGAGGTTTCCTTTGGCAGCACAATCCCAACCCTCGGAGAAAAACATGCGACCTCTGGTGGAAGAGGAGCCTGGGCCAGTACTGGTGCTAGCTTGGCTGCTGGGAAGCGGAATGAATTTGTCTCCACTAGAGGATTTTGTACTTTTATTCTTTCAATCTTACAGGTCCTTATTTTCTTTAATCACTTGGATTGACAGTTGATTCATCATCTGACCCTGAAATTCAGCCTCGAATAAATTCCGCAACAGGATCTCAGTGTCCCTGCTGGACCCCTTTGGTGAGCTAAGCAAGAGATCGTGTCTTTATGCCCTTTAGCACAAATCCTATCCCCTGTAAGCGTGCAGTCTCCAACTGAGAGAACTTGAAAGAACCAGGAGGAGACAGAAACACCAAAACTCATTCTGAGGCAGAGATGCTCACAGGCCTGTAGCCTTGTGGCAGATGCACATCTCAGAACAGCCAGCAAGTCTGGCTAACAGTCTTTTCTTTTACCAAAGAAATGCTGCTTTAAGGGTTTAGATCATTATCCTTCATTGAGCGTTGGGGGAGATACAGTCTGACAGAACTTGTCAACTGTATGTGAGGGTTTATGTACTACTATTTACGTGTTCCATCTCTTGTAATTTGCACTGTGGCTCTCACGTGCCGTCACTTTGCTTAGCTAGATGTTGCCTCTCATTGGTCCTTTTAAGGCTCAGGGCTCTGGAATGTGGCTTTGGTAGGTAAAGGCTAGTTCTTCACTTGACGCAAACAATGAAACCAGAGGCGGACTGTTTCACAAGGTTACACAAGGAGGAAAATGGCATTAATGTCTCTTCCAAATTAAAGGAGGCAGATAAGGTTTTTCCCCTCTTCAATTTCTTCCTGTACTTTGTCACTGGAGGTTGCAATTTCTGCTTGTGCAGAAAAGATGGCACAGATGAAGGTGAGGACTGTCCCACCAATGGCAGTATAAAAGGCCCAGCCCAAGGAGCAGTCTCCGGGTTTGTAGGCCGACGCATAGTGTCCACAGTAGGCGATGGCCTTCTGGCAGCCCCAGCCAGCAGGGTAGAGTATCAAACCGAGGATAAGGAACAGGCCTGCAGGGCAGAAGAGGAAAGAGTACAGATTTATTGTAATTGTTACTTGATTTGCCTGCTTTGGGCTATGGCATCCTTTCTGCAATAGCAAGTGTTAGGGACTGTTTTATGCAACTAATCTAACCTGACCAATAACTATCACCACATTACCAGAAATATTTTTAGCCTCTTTTGTACATGTTGGAATATGTACCCACTAATAATTTCTCTTGTAGAAAAGCAAATGAACTTGTTACTGTTTCTTCTCACAGGGTTCTTACTGAGAATGGAAGGTAGACTCTTACCTAAGGCAGAGGTTGGCAAACTATGGCCAAGTAAGTGTGGCCTTGTTTTTACAAATAAAGTTTTATTGGAACATAGCTATGCCCATTCATTTATGGATTGCCTATGAATGTTTTTATGCTGGAACAGCAGAGTGAGTAACTGCTACAGATCCTAGGGGTTAAATTATTTGCTACCTGGCCACTTGCAGAAAATGTTTGCCAACCCCTGGCCTAGGGGAATTCACACAGAACCATTTAATATCACCCTGGTTAAATGCCAGAGACCAGATCTTAACCCAATGTCAATGCTTTAAACAAGTCCACAGGAGTCTCTTTGATGGCATTCACCAACAAACAATTGCGTGCTTTGGACAAAGACTTCATATTTACATGTACATTTAGGAAAAACACTGCAAGCTGCAAACTTTTTTCTTTCTTTTTTGGTCTGAATGCTCTTAGGTGAACCCAGCCTTGGCAGACACTAATAAGCTCTGTTTCTGTTTTGCTGACCCCCCACCCCCACCACCTTGTCATACGAAACATCCATTTTTCTATTCCTTACAGCTTTATTGCCCACTGTGTAATTGCCAGTTATTTTTCCTACCAGCTGGGTAAGGAGCTACCCCAGGGCCAGGACTAAGGTGAGGCAAGTGAGGCGCAACTGTGAAGGGACAGTTACTTTAGGTGTTCTCCCTGTGCTCGGGGGAACCTGAGAGTATGTTACCTGCCGTGCCTTGATCCTGGCCCTGGCTACCAGTCAGTCACACAGCAAAGCTGCTGGAAAGGAAGTCTGGGCCCTGAACTAACAGAGGCTGAGCTGTCTTACCCAGTGAAGCTTTCTTTGTAGAAAGGGTGCTGCAAGAGTGTGGCTTTATTTGTTGTGGCAGGGGTGAAAAATGTTTTTTTCTTAAACATGACACCTACTTATCAAGATTGCAACTTTATAACCCAGAACACCTGTTTTTTAGATACCATGGAATAGCAACTCTATCCTCATAAACTAATAATCTTGGCTTAGCTCTCTGGGTTTACCACACCAAACTTTCCAAGTCATTTAATGCAACTTCCCCACAGAAAGAACATGACTGAATTTGTGGTGTGAAGTTTGAAGAAAGAGCAGGGACAGTGTTTGAGACCACAGATCATAACTTTCACACAGTCTTCTTCATCCTGTGATGGCATCATCTCTCCAAGCATGGCAGTTCACGACTAGAGTGGGTTTTGGGGTCTGACTGTTCCTACTTCCCAAATTAATCTCATTGTTCTAGTCTGAAGGCCTCCAGGAACTTTCTAGCAGGTGTGCAACAGAGGCAGTCTGCTCATATGTTCATTTTCTGAAAAAGGATGCTTCACAAAAGAAGCGTCGTAACCCCGCAGTCCTCTTCCTCTACACGCTGGGGTGCTGGGAGCAGGAAGGCAGTGATGTGTAGCTAGGGAAACGCGATTCAGTGTTGGGAAGTGTAAAGGAGAGGGCAGCAGGCTGAGGCGTCTTGGAGAGAGGCTGTCAGTAGTGATGGAGAGTGCAGAGTGAGTTCCCCCAGGGATAAGGCAGCCAGTGGAGAGAGTGTTGGTACTCTGGAACTCACAAGGTATTGAACCAGCAATCTTGGTTTGGGCGTCTGGGGTCAACGCCAAGGCTAGAAAGCACATACCAGAAAAGCCCTTAGAGTCTAGTGGGAGCTTGAACACAAACTAGCAAGATGATGGGCCATAGCGAAGACGCACTAAATTAAGAGATGGGTCAGTCAGTAGTTAGGAACTCGGAATTTCAAGTAAGATAGAGGTTTGAATCCAAGCTCTAAGAGACTTAGAAAATTAACCTAAGTATGATTCCTAACCTGTAAAATGGGCTAATGTTAACTGATAAGGTGGTTGTATTGAAGTATGTAAAGAGTGCTTTCCACATCCATAACAGTAACAGCAGTAACAACAAAACAGGAGCATAGACTAGCACCTGACAATAGGGTAAATAAAGCCTTTCGCAGACCCTTCCCATACATAAACAGTTTAAAGTTTACCAGTTATGAATAAGCAGGTCAGCTTAGTTTTGAGGGTATGTTTTGAAAGGGGTAATAATTTAGAAAGAGGGGAGAACCCAGGTTACAATTTTGTACCCTTGAAAGAATACACCACCCCCATCTGAACAGATCTTACTCAGCTGCAGAGATGTAAAAATTGAGTTAATTCTTTTATGTTTCCAAGGCCTTTGACGAATCCTAATTATCCGACCGTGTTCCCTAGGAAGCCTCACCCAGAGTATGTGGGTCTTGTTTCTCCCTCCAGTCCTAAGTTAACACCCGCGCGCTGTGCGGCGCCATCGCTGGGGCTTCTGAAGGATTTGGAGGTGCTCCGGCGCACAGCCTCTGCTGCCAAGGGCTAGTGCAGGCCCCAGGCAAGGGAGCAGGAGCGGCTTTTCCCTGTAAAGCCCGGAGTGTTCACATTGTATTTGAATTGTGGCTCCAGTTAAATATTAATGGCACATGCCGTATATATTACATGGCTTAAACAAGCGCAGTAAGCAAAATTAATGCACTTTAATATGATAGGGACAGAAGACAGAAGGCAGAGTTTGTCGTCACATAGCAGCTCTGCTACCCTGTGCTGGGCTCATAAAATACCTTCCTCTGGCTCTCTCAGATTCTTCTGGGAAGTAGGCAGGTTTAACATAATTAAATAATATAATCCTTACTTTAATATGAGACCCCGTTTCACAGTACAGCCAGGAACAGTCACTCCAGTACCGCTCCGTTGGTGTCTCAGGTGCTCCCCCTTTCTGATAGCTCAGCTAAAGTTCCCAAAGTGCTTTAGGCCACCTTAAAAATCTAGTGACTGCTATTGACCAGTTTGTGAATGACAGTAGGAAGACTTTTCTTATCACATAAAGGTGCCATGCTTGTGCGTTTGTTAAAACACTCAGTATTTATAAGCCCCCAGGGCGTCCATGTTGGGGGGTGGGGTAATAAAAAGTGGACTGTGGCACGCCTCCAAGTCCCAGTGGATGTGAAGTGTGCCGAAACCACATGCTCTCAACGTGGGCGGCCAGCCTAGACAAACAGCGGCTTGTCCAAATTCTCCCTGGGGCGGGCGGAAGACGTTGCCACTGTCTACCCTACCCTGGCTGGTGGACCTCTCTTCCCAGCACGCATCAGAGTTGTCATTAGCATGGTTAATGCCATGAACATCTAAGACCTGTGTCTGGTAAGGGAAGAGTGGCCTTCAGGTAAGTGCAACATGAGTCACACCTGTCATCTGTCTAGGTATTTAGAAAACGGCTCTTCCATCAAAGGAATTTTAAACAGTTTATAGTGATTGAGGTGACCACCACCCTTAGACCTCACCTCACAAGGTCCTGAGCAGCTGTTCTGGCCTTAATGAACATCCCTTACTGAAGCACAAACATCATCTAAACCTGTTCTTTTGCTTGCTAGTAAAATAGTTGAGAAAAAGCCCATAAAGGTTTCCCATCTCCCAGAGTAAAACCCAGCTCCCTCTCCCTGGCCTCCAGGCCCCATCCGATGCAGCGCCTCCTTGCCTGTCTGATCGCCTCTTCCTGGACACACCAGGATGCTCGCAGCGGCGCACTTGCCACTCCTCTCACTGGCCGCGCCCTCGTCCCCCCAGTTAGCTTTCCGGTCATCTTTAAATGCCACCTCCTAGTGTGGTCTTCTGTTCCAATTTATTTAAAATTTCAACCACTTACCTCCCCCCTACTTGCTATCCCCCTTCCTTGCTTTGTTATTTCTTGGCACTTATTTACAGACATAGAATGCATTATATTGAGTCATTTACGTACAAAAATGGTCATTTCACATGGTTCCACATACAATTTTACTTTGCCATTTTGATTGTTACCCATTTCCATACTAGACTTTAAGCTCCACAAGGGCAGGGATTTTTGTTTATTTGGTTTACTATAAAGCTAGTGTTCAGAATAGCTCTTGGCACATAGTAGGCCCTTCATAAAACTTTCTTAATGTCAGTCCAATTTGGTTTGTAATAAAATATTTCTAAACCACAGTGCCCCTGGGGAAAACAGTAGAATAACTTTGGTTGATACCAGTCAATAAAAATGTACTGTGCCAGCAGGAAAGGAAGCAGAGACTCTTGGTTGGCTGGCTTGTTTTGCCACACTGCCCTATTCTACGCCTGGGAAAGCAAATTTGTGCCCCAAATTATAACTGGGCTTGACGACACCAGCTAATGACAACAGAATGAAAGTCCCTGACTTCTTAAATGGCAGGTCAGACAATAGGCAAGAGAATACAATGAGACATACCAAGTCTGCTGCAAACTGGTTATGATGTTTCTGGTCCTCAATCTGGGGTGCCTTTAGGGATTGTCTGCTTGGTTGCTGGTTATGTCCAAAGGCCAAATGGAAGGTGGGGAGTGTGCTCAGGATTGAGTTTTACACAAAAGCTGAGCCAAAAAATGGTCGAATTTCCCTGTGCAGCTTTAAAAAGGCAGTTCCTGAAGGTAGGCCAGCCGATGGTGGTCTCTGGGGCCTTTCTATTGCCTTGCATTAATGCCTCACTGTTTCAGGTGTCGGGTGGGGGTGGTGTGTATATGTGTGTGTTGTGGAGGGTGACAGAGAAAGTAAGGGACTACGACAGTGGGCATTAGCTTGTCTGTTGACTGGCTTCTCTCCCTGGTGCCTCACTGAGCAGTGAGTGCCAAGCCCAACTGGGAGGAGAAGGAAGAGCAGAGAATTATATTGGACAGTAACCTAAGAAAGTAGCT